TATAGTCAAACTCTATGATTATGATCTTTATAAAGTATTGCTAATAACAATTAATGAATATCTCTGTAAATTAATCAACCGTGTCACTACCCCAATAAAATTGTAGATATTTCTATCAAAATATAATAACTTCATTCAAATTGGTATGATTATAATCTATTTTATGAGATACTTTTAGGTCCATTTATTATTTTTAATTAGTATTGATAATATATATATATATATGTGTGTGTGTGTGTGTGTGTGTGTGTGTGTATTATTTTATATCGTTATAAATAATTATAATATTTTTATTTTATTTACAATAAATTGTCAAATCAAACATCATTAGAAAGAAATGATGTGATGTATTACATGTAAAAGGATAATAAATAAGAAAATATTAAATATTTCGAAAGTCAAAAATTTAATGTTAGAAAGTAATGAAATATTTAACTAAAAAATTAATACCAATTCTAACGAATATTTAAATGTTATTCCTCTCGTTTGAATTATTTCAATAAAAAATATAACAAAAATATTTTGTTAGAATCATGGGCAGATCCATTTTTTTTAATACGGTCGACATATGGCTACTTCCCAAAACATATAGCATAATGTATCTAACAAAAATTATGGGAACATTTTTCATAATTTTATTCATGCCCCATATTCAGAAAGTAAAATTAAAAGAAAGAAAGATAAATAATGAATTAATTTGTGACTCAACCAATTATAATTTAATTCAGCTCATAACTTTATTAAAGTTATACCATAAACACAGTATCACAACTAAAGAAAATATGATAAATTTAGAAATTATAATTTCACCCTTTTAATTTTTTTTTTTTAATCTTGATGATAGCTTCTATTCTCTCTTTTGCAATATATTTTTTCTCTAACAATTTTCATGTCTCTTTTAACTAATGTATATAGAATTATAGTTATATATTAATAATTAAAAAATTCATCAATTATATTGCCGAGTCAACTATACCACAACATCTAATTTTTTGTTCATAAAATTTTTAAAAAATATATTATATTCAATGATTTTATTATGTTGAAGAAAAATTATGTTTTGTTGTTAATTTATTTTAACTTTTCGTGACTGTATTGATGTATTAAAAATGTATTACAAGTGAGAAATATGACAAATTACTAAATAAAATATGATAAATCTAGAAATTACTATTTCACCCTTTTAATTTAATTTTATTTATTTTAATCTCGATGATAGCTTCTATTATCTCTTTTGCAACATATTTTTTCTCTAACTTTTTTCATGACTTCTTTAACTAATGTATGTGTTATTATAGTTATATATCAATAATTTAAAAATTCATCAATTATATTGTCGAGTCAACTATACCACAACCTAAATTTTTTGTTCATAAAAATTTTAAAAAATATATTATTTTCAATGATTTTATTATGTTGAAGGAAAATAATATTTTTTTGTTAATATATTTTAACTTGTCGTGACTGTATTGATGTATTAAAAATGTATCACAGGTGAAAAATATGACAAAGTATAAATTGTAAAAGTATTATGTTATTTTGATGGTATAGTGCCCCCTGTAAGAAATTATTTTGGATTTGCCACTGCATTTAGCTTTTCAATGAAACTTCCATTGATTTTTTTACAATTCCAATGGCTGTTTTTCCAACGGTTGAAATATTGTCTGAGAAAAAATCTAATGAAAAATCACACAACAATAAATAATAGTAATGAGAATAATTAATCAGTTAACTTCTAATGTAATTTAACTTTATCTCCGTTGGAATAGCCAATGAAATTTTCAATGAAAGTCATACCAATGAAATATCCGCTGGAATTTTCAGGGGAATACCTTACAGTTGGTTTTTTTTTTTTAATTTATTCATTCTTAAACATTAAATTTTTATGTGATATCTTTTGTTATTACTTAATTATCTTTACAATTTTTCTTTGAAAAATACATTAAACACATGGCTTTTTAGTCATGTAATTGTTTTAGAAATCACTCATTATTTTATCTCAAGATTACCTATTAATTTCTTAATCAAGTTATATTTGTTATATATTAAATATTAAATGATGAAAATATTTAGTATTGTATAATTGTAATATGATATTTTTATATTATATTTAAAAAACCAATATCAAATAAAAAAGTTATTTAAAATTAGAACAATCAATTTTTTTTAAAAAAAAAATTTAGAAGTTCTAACCTAAATGGATAAAAGTACAAATAACTATTGTCTGTCACCTAAACCTTACACATAGAATTAATAATCACAAAAAATTAACAAATATTTACAACTCAACTCATTTGTATTGATAAATACAAGTTTTAAAAGTTTTATATTTATTTTAATCAATTATAACACTTTTAATATTATTTATGAAATTTTATATATGTCTTATTATATATTAATTTCATACAATTTTGTAAAGAAAAACAATGCTTTATTATCATAATACAGATTGGACAGATGGATACTGGTAATATATCCATATAATTTCGTGGCCGTTATGAGAACAAACAATACCGATTTCAAGTTTTGTTCATAAAAAATTTTAAAAAGTATATTGTTTTCAATGATTTTCTTATATTGAATTAAGAAAAATCATGTTTGTTTTTTTTAATATTTTCTAACTTATATGTGTTAAAAATGTATTACAAATGCGAAAGATGACAAACTATGAAAAGTATAATTTATAAAAATTATAGTGCATTATGTTATTTTGATGGTATACTTTTTCATTAATTAAATAGTGCCCCCAATAAGAAATTATTTTGTATCCTCCACTGCAATTAGCTTTCATAAACTTATATTGAATTTTTTAAAATTCCATTGACAGTTTTTTCAACAGTTGAAATATGGTCTGAAAACAAATTCTAACTGAAATTCATACAATAATAAATAATGGTAATTGTAATCATTAAATCAACAAAAAATTCAATGTAATTTAATTTGATCTCTAATAGACAATGAAATTTTTGAATGAACACTACACCAATGAAATATTTGTTGCAATTTTCAGTGGAATACCTACAATTTTTCTATTAAAAATATACTTAACACATGAACTTTTTGGTACCATATATTTTTTTAAAATCACTCATTATTTTATCTCAAAATTACCTATTAATTTCTCAATTGAGTTAAATTTCTTACATATTAAATATTAAATAATATAAATAATTATTATTTTATATATGTAATATGATATTTATTATTATATTAAAAAAGAAAATAAAAGGTTATTTAAAATTAAAATAATCATTTTTTTTTTAAAAAATAAAAGTTCTAACCTACATGGATAAAAGCACAAATAACTATTGTCTATTACCTAAAACTTACACATAGAACTAATAAGCACAAAAAATTAACAAGCATTGAACAATTCAGTTTGTTTGAATCGATAAGTACAATTTTAAAAGTTTTATATTCATTTTTATTAATTATAATATTTTTATTTATTACTTTTTTTTCATAGTTATTAGCAAGTATGACAACTTAATTATATTTTATAATATTTAATAAATTTTATATTTTTGTACTTTATATTGTCCTTTCATATGTTCTTCACCTAATGGTCAGGTGAAAATCGTTAACTTTATTGGAAAAAAGAATCAAACAACCACATAAATAACGTTTTTTGTGGGATAAAAATTTAATTCAATAAATATAAGGTGCAATTTCTAAATATAAGATTTTATTTTTCTTAAATAACGAAGTGGCTAAATGAACTGATCTACTTTTCTAGTTTATTAGAATATGTATATATATATTCGCTACCCCAATGAATATTATTCGTTGCGATTTTAAGTGGAATGTCTGACTGTTGTATTTATTATTGCAATATAGCATTTTTTGTGTATTCTTTCTTAAACATTAAAGCTTTCATGTAGTAGTTTTGGTTATTAATTAAAGTAATTATGATTTTATATTAAAATTATATTAAAAATAAGGATGTTTTCCAAAACATGAATTATATATCTTTTCAAAATTTTTGTTGTCTGGGTGATTTTTTGGAAATATGAAAAAACAGTTTGACAAATATGTGAAAGAAGCAAATTCGTGGGATAGTTTTTGTTATTAATTAAAGTAATTACGATTTAAAATAATATTAAAAATAAGAATGTTTTCTAAAACATCAATTATATATCTTTTCAAATTCTGGGTTGATATTTTGGAGATATGAAAAAAACAGTTTGACAAATATGTGAAAGAAGCAAATTCGTGAGAAATAATGGTATGAGAATATTGAGGCTAATTTTTAGGAGACTAATTTATCATTAAAAATAAGTCAAAGTAAGTGTTTTTTAGGTACTTCATTTGTTAATTAAAAATACATGATTACGATTTTACATTAAAGTTATATTAAAATAAAGACGTTTTTGAAAACATCAACTACATATTCTCTCATAGCCTTGTTGGGTTGATTTTTGGGAGATATGAAAGAAAACAGTTTGACAGATATGTGAAAGAATCAAATTGGTGATGAATAATGGTATGAGAATGTTGAGGTTGATTTTTAGGAGAGCTAGAATATTTTGTTCATGTATCTATATTTAATTAATTAAATATTAGTTATTAATTAAAAATATAAGATGATTATTGGTGTAGTATTAATTTGTCATTCAAAATAAGGGTTTTTTAGGTAGTTCATTTGTTAATTAAAAATATAAAATAAGATGGGCATTACTATATTACTAATTTGCCATTAAAAATATGTCAAAGTAAGGGTATTTTAGGCAAATCATTATTTTTACAAAATCACTTGTCCTTTTATAATAGTATATATATATATATATATATATATATAATATATATATATATATAGATATAGATATAGATATAGATAGATAGATAGATAATAATAGATATCAATGCATGTGGAAAAGATATTGTTACGCTTACATGCTTGAATATAGATACAAAATTTCTCAATCAACTTCAAGGGAAGAACCTGTTACTAAGCTAAGTTGACAAATATAGCTCTTATCAATAATCATGGAGTTGCAATAATGTTTGTGGGCTTCCCAAGTCCTATGAAAGGTTCTGCTTTGAATTAAGATTAACAAAAAGACAAAC